CTGGATACAGATAAAAATGGTGGTCTTGTCAGAGCAATTTTAGAGGAGGAAAAGTTTATTTGGCCCTTGTGGTTTTAGAGATCTCAGTTCACAGACAGCCACCTCTGTTGCTCTGGGCCCGGATAAAGCAGAACACAATGGCAGAAGGGAGTGGAGGAGGAAAGCAGTTCAGGAGAAGGCAATCCGGAAGCTGAGTTCCACTCAACAGGGAAAATATAGAAACCCCCAAAGCACATTCCCAGTAGCCTACCTCCTTCAACCACATCCTATCCGCCTGCCCTGTTCGTCCATTCCAGTGGAATAACATGCTGATTAGGTTAAAGCTTACAGCCCAATCATTGCACCTAATGATTGTCTAATGTGAGCTTTTGGGGACAACCTAAAACTTAAGGATTTGAGAGGAAAAGGGAAAGTATGATTATTCATTTTCCTCCTAGGTTGGACTCTTCACAGAAATTGGGCCCATGTCTTGCTTCATTTCTCGACATGTAAGTCTAGACACGTTGGGCGGGGCTAAGGAAGAGACACCCAATCATGACCATCTACTGAAACATTCAATACAGCTGGGTGTGGTGGCATGTGCCTGTAATCCCAGGGACTCAGGAGGCTGAGATAGGAGGATTGCAAATTTGAGGTCAGCCTCAGCAACTTAGTAAGAGCCTGTCTCGAAATAAAAAGGCCTTGGGAAGTAGCTCAGGGGTAAAGCTTCCCTGGGTTTAATCCCCAAGAGTTTAAAAAGAAAAAAATGCTGACCTGGCCTGACTCTGTGGTATGTGTATGTAATCCCAGCTACTAGGGAGGCTGAGTCAGGATGGCAATTTGAAGCCAGCCTGGGCAATTTAGCAAGACCCTAAGTAAAAAAGCAGTGGCTGAGGTGGGGGGAGGGGATATGATTGTCTATTCACAGGCTGGGGGGTATAGCTTAGTGGTAGAGCACTTGTCTAGCATATGTGAGGCCTTGGATTTGATCCCCAGCACCACAAAAATAAATAAGCAAAGGGCTGACAAGTATCACTTTTCCTTTCAGTCCATCCCGTCAGAGATGGAATTTGATCCTAATTCTAACCCACCATGTTACAAGACAATGGATGAGGTGAGTGGGTAGGAGGAAGGCAGAGGGGGGGAATAGGCCAGGCTGAGGGAAGAGGATTGCCCTGGGAATGTCTGAGTACACTGTTGTCTCCTCTTCTTAGGACATTGTGATTCAGCAGGAGGATGACATCCGCTTGAAGATTGTGGGGACCCGCGTGGACAAGAATGACATTGTGAGTCTCTTGCCTACCATAGCCATACCAGGCAGAACTGAATGCTGTGGACTTCTTTACCACTCACAGTTCTGGGGGAGGGGGTGGGGTTCTGTGGTGTTCTGGGTGGCAGAAGACCTGGGGCTTGTGGGGTAGAGGAGGTTCTGCTCTTGCCTTGTCCTGGTTTCATGTTTATTTTCTTTCCTACAGTTTGCCATTGGCTCCCTGATGGATGATTACTTGGGTGAGTGCCTGATTTGTGGTGACCTGGAGAATGGGTGTGTAGGAGAGGGAAGTGGGTGTAGGATTTAATGCCTGGGACAGAGACATTAGAAATTTTTATTCTGTCTGCTTGGAAGATCTAGGACCTGTGCCCTTGGGATGGGAAGTAGGTGGTTGTGGCTGCCTCTGAGCTCTGGGTGTAACTGATGTACCTTTCCTGTTTTCACAGGGCTTGTGAGCTGAGCATGGGAGCCTCCTACCAAGTGTGATCTTGATCTATAAAATGTTGCTTTAATACTTGCAGAGTTGTCTAGAGACTCCCTCTGGCTGTTGTTGGGGGAAGCAAGGAAGATTCTTTGTCCCTGAAGCCATCTGGTGCTTCTTCCAGTTTAGCTGTTGCTTGACTCTGTGTTCTAACTATAAAAGGTCATTGGTTCTCATGCAAGTGTCATGTTCTTTTTTTGGTTTTGTTTTATTTTATTTTTTGGTGCTGGGAATTGAACCCAGGGCCCTGTGCATGCAAGGCACTCTACCAATTGAGCTATATTCCCAGCTCTCATATTCCTTTTTGGGTAGGAGCAACACTCTTTTTTAAAAAGGTCATTAGCCAGTTACTCACTGGACCTTTTCCTTGGCCTGATGTTGCAACTGTCCTTGGCCACACATGGGGATTTAACAAACCCTTTTGCTAAGGTCTGAAGTTAACCTCATTGTAGGCAAACTGATATTGGATCATTGACTTTCAGTAAATGAAAACCATCATCACAGCCATTCTGAGTCCTAATCTAATATCAGWGTGTTTGCCTTTCCCATGACCTTAAACTCCAAGAGTATAAGAGGGAAAGGGGGGAAGAAACAACAGATAAGGAAAAATGAACCAGAGAAGAGTAATAGCGCAGATTACAGAGTCCCAACACATCCCTTTTATTTTTTTGTGGTACTGGGGAATTGAAATGGGAACTGTACCACTGAGCTATATCACMAGCCCTTTTATTTATTTTTATTAARTATTTTAGTTGTTGATGGAACTATTATTTATATGCAATGCTGAGACTCGAACCCAGTGCTTCATACATGCTACGCAAAAGAGTTTATAATCAGGGTCACAAAAAATACATGAAATGCCTACAAGATTAAACAAACATGATGGGCTGTGGTTGTGGCTCAGTGGTAGAGCACTTGCCCAGCATATGTGAGGACTTGGGTTCGATCCTCAGCACCACATAAAAATTAATTAATTAAAGGTATTGTGTCCATCTACAACTTAAAACAAACCACAAGACTATTTCTCCACGTTGAAGTGCCCTTTTCTAGCTTGCCTATTTGCTTCTGACTAATCTGTCAAATCTGGGTTCAGTTATGCCCCCGTTAAGTTTCATGCCTGAGTCAGACATGAGAAACTGTAATTCTGTCAGGAAGACATAGGCCATGTCCCTTTGAATGGGAAGTATATGGTTGTGGCTTCCCCCCATAATTTTATTGTATGGTTTAGGGCTGGGGATGTGGCTCAAGCAGTAGCGCGCTTGCCTGGCATGCATGCGGCCCGGGTTCGATCCTCAGCACCACATACAAACAAAGATGTTGTGTCCGCCGAAAACTAACTAACTAACTAACTAAATAATAAATAAATTTTCTCTCTCTCTCTTTCTCTCTCTAAAAAACAAAAAAGGTTTTTTTAAAAAAAATAAAAAATAAAATAAAATTANAAAAAAAATGGTTATTGTATGGTTTATATAATGCACCTGAGCTGGTGGCTGCCACTGGCTGTCCATCCARTAAACCTTAGGTGATCCATTAGCAGCCCAAATGAGGCTGAGCTGACAATCAAATTCAGACCTTCAGGAGGGAGGGCCTCCTTTCTCCTTCCTTTCACAGAGGACAGGCACTCAGCATTGAAGAAGGAAACCACTCCAATGTTACTTTGAATATAACTGGAAGAGACTAAGTGGAGTCGGGCTCCTCAGATGGGGTTGCTATAGCAACCCTAGTTACATCTATCAGGTTTTCACAGCACCAAGTCCCAGAGGATTTTCTTTTCTAGACAAGAGCATCTAGCCCTGAGAAAGAGGAAGGGTGAGGAGGCTATATACACACACATTCCCCTGCAGAAAGTGCCCTTCTAGAACTAAAATAATAAAAGAGCTGGGAGTGAAGCTCAGTGGTAGAATGCCCTGGGTTCAATCCTATACACTACAAATAATTTTAAAATAAATCATAAAGATGGAAAACGAATTAAGCCAGGTTTGGTGTTAGTCTTTTAATCTAAGCGACTCCMGGGGCCAGCCTCAGTAATTTATCAAGACCCTGTCTCAAAAAAATAAGAAGGAATGTGGGTTAGCTCAGAGGTAGAGTGCCCCTGGTTCAAACTGCAGTGTGTGGAAGGGAGGGGGVGGGAGAAAAGCCCCCTGCAAACTACCCCATCTTGGGTGAACTTAGTAGAGCAATTCACTATCTCCCTTGTGATGTGTTAATGGCAGTTCAATACCCCCTCTCRCCAGGTGCTTTCACAGACATTATTTAATCTACAACAAACTTAYGAGGCGGGCATTGCTTCCTCTGTTTGTATATGCGGGAAAACATGGTTAGGTGATTTTCCCCAAGGCGTGTCAGAAATTGGAACTCAAGTCGGTGATCCCAAATACCGTCCTTTATTCAGTAAGCCCACTGGTCAGAAAAGGGAGCTATCAGGGTTGTATGGTCTTGTAAATTGGTCAAGAAGTATGGAGGCAGGTGAGGACTTATATTTGGYTCACTGGACAGAATTCAAAGCTTGCACCTGTGTTTGGTCCTGTCAAAAGTTTCTTCTGTCCGCAGGGAACAGCTGCCGGAAGCCCCACTTACCTTTCAGGAAGCGGAAGAGGCAGGTTAGGTGATGTTGGAGAGGGAGGTTGAGCAGGAAAACTAAGCCAGACACCAAAGTCTGAAGCTTTTTCCTATAGTTGCGAAATTGAAAGTGGTCGTAAACTGGGGAGCAGACAAAAAACAAGGGAATGGAAATGCTTTCCCATAAGAATATTTTWGTTTTTTGGTACTGGGGATTGGACCCAGTCCAATGTATTTCAGTCCTACCACTGARCTACATCCTTACAYCTCTGTTTTTTGTTTTGAGACAGRGGCTCACCAAGCTGCTGAGGTTCGCTTCAGCCTTGCACTTTCGATCTTYCTGCCTCAGCCTCCTGAGTAGCTGGGATTCSAGGACATGTTTATTCAATGCGTGCCAAACCATACMCACCCGCTTCGCAGACTAGCGAGAGCTGTTGCTTTAAGAAGCTGGAGCCTTCAGCATCACGTGATCTCCGGCGTCYGGCGTCCGCGCCGCGCTTCCTTACAGGCTAATCACGTGGCGGGAAGGCTCCCGGAGGGCGGGAACTTCTCGAGACGGCCGGCGATTGGCTGGGCTCGTGGAGGGTGGTGCCGGGGCGCGGAGAGAGGGAATTAGTGCGAGCCGGGTGAGTGGGAGCTGCCGCCACAGCCCACGCCTCGGCAGCTGCCCTCGCCACRCGAAGCTCTCAGGTGAGCTGGCCTGGCCGAGTCCAAGGGCTCCCCGTCGCTCCGCGGGCTGCTCCCTACAGGTGCTGGGGCCCGCCCACTTCCCTGTACACGTGATCCAAGTTCGTGAACCTTGACCTCCTACCCCACCCCAAGCCCTCAGTGCCTGGGGTGAGCCGGGCTGGGTGGGAGGACGGATATCGGCTGGAACGTGGAGGTCAGTGTCCCCGCCTCCTACCAGAGTAACTAATGGCTGGGGATGGGCAGGAGAAGAGGCTGAGGAGCGAAAGACCTTGGTCACAGGCCAGATCTTACGGGGTCCCAATAGGGAAACGCCGGCAAGGCAAGACTTAGTGCTCCCATTTTACAGATGTGGAAACTGATTGGAGGATCGAGGGTCGCCGAGTGGTGGGTCTCCAACACCAGTTTCTTTGGGTTGCGAATCTGGGTTTTCTTCCCCACACAAGCTGGCAGCACCTGAGTGCAGTGTTGTGGAATGATTAGGAAAAAGGGTGTGAATCCTTGCTACCTACTAGCTAGCGCTCACTGGATCATCTTGGGTAAGCCCTGTAACATTAAGCTCTCTCAGGTTTGATCACCTTGGCTGTGAGATAGCAACATATATAACATGTATATCATTGTCAAGAAGGATCCAATAAGGTAATMCATACATAGTGTTTACTCAGTGCTTCAGGCAATTTATGTGCTTAGTAAAATAGTCATTCTTTCTTCCTTCTTTCAGCAAGTGTTTATTGAAGGCCTAGTATGTGGTGACATTGCTGGATACTTGGGATGCAAAGGTGAGCAAACAGACATGGTCCTGGCTGCCATGGAGCTTACATAGTTTAGTGGGTAGGTAGGTGTTAATTAAAAAGTCACACAAATGTCTACAGACTTTTTTTGGAAGTGGGGCGGTGCCTGGATTGAACTCAGGGTGCATAACCASTGAGCCATGTCCCCAGCCTTTTTTTGTTTTAATATCTTTATTTTGTYTATTTTTATGTGGTGCTAAGGATCGAACCTAGTGCCTCAYTTGTGCCAGGCAAGTAAGTGCTCTGCCAATGAGATGAACCACAGCCCCAGCCCCAGCCCTAGCCCTGTCCCCAGCCCTTTTTATTTTTAAGTTAGAGACAGGRTTTGAGATTACAGGCATGAGCTACCATACCTGGCTTCTACAAACTTTTATAACTGTCTTGAAGACAGAGTACAGGAACATGTAGGGAATCTGGGAACACTTCCTGGAGAAAGTAACATTTTGAACTGAGATCTAAAGGAATGAGTAGGAGTTCACTAGACAAAGAGGTCAGGGTGAAAGATGAGGAGACTTCAAAGCAGAATAACATTCAAAGGTCMTGAAATAAAATGTATTGAGGAAGTAAAAGGGGGATTTGGGTGGGAATGAAGAATACAAAAGAGAAAACTTGAATAAGTGTAGGCAGGTATATGCAGACTCTGGGGCATGGGCCAGATATTTTCTTTATTTCAAAAGCAATTGAGAGCCATCGAGAAGAGAGCTGTGGAAGCCAAGTAGGAAGCTCATTGCACTTAGGGATAAAGAACAAGAGTCTTGGGGCTGGGGTTGTGGTTCAGTGGTAGAGCACTTGCCTAGCATGTTTGAGGCACTGGGTTCAATTCTCAGYACCACATATAAATAAAGGTAAATCAACAACAACAAAAACAAAAAAAAAATATATAAAAAGAGAACCAGAGAGTAGTGGGAGCAGTGTCTGGGTGGGTCACCTTGGAACCAGGCTTTGCTGCCTGAGGTACTGTTGTCTCACTTTGAATTGTGTGTGCGTCTACCTTCCAGCTGCAGTGTGCATTGTCRGAGTGAGCCGTCATGTCTGTTTTTGTTAGGTTCTTATTCTGCCATATCCTGTGAACACAACAGGTTCCTGCATCTAGGCCTTGCAGCCAAAATGGGGAAGACCAGACACATGGGCAAAAAGCCCAACTTCTAAAAGCCTGGCTGGCCCAGATGTCATATGGTACCGAAGATCCCAGAGACTGGGTTTGTCTTACCAAGAGGAGAAGGAGGGAAGTCAGTCTGAGCAAAAGCCTGGTAGAAGGGCCTAAGGCAAGGTGGGAAGACACTAGCCTCGTTTACTAGAGGAGGGATCAGTGTGAACAGATGTGGGGATTTGGGACCAAAAGTAATATGTCAAACCAGGAAGTTTGGTCTTTTTTCATAAGCAATGGAGGAACATTAGAGAGATATTTTAGCAATGCAGTGTGAGGATTAAAGTCTTTTCATAAAAATTTAGTTGATGGTGGGTGTAGTAAGAATGAAAAGAGGACATGAAATTTTTGTTTGTAGTTAATGATGACATTGTTCATTGGTGTAGTGTTCCCTTTGTGGTGGTGGTTCTTTTGTGTGTGTGTAGGGGTGGAAACTAGGGCCTTTTGCATGCTAAGCAGGCATTCTACCGCCAAATTACATCTGCAGCCCTGGAGTTATGTGCTAGTTCCTGATTTTCTCAGATATCATCTCATTTTATCTTCATAGTAAGTTAGGGCACAGTAAGTTARGGCAGAGATTATTGCCCCTATTTGGAATACCAGTGCTCGGACTGATGAAGGTCCTAGCCAGGTTCACATAGTAAAGGGCAGAGCACAATTCTGTGGACCCAAAGGCCAGGCACTTTTCCCTAGCTTCCCTATTGTCTGCTCACTGACCTGCCTATTTTCTTCCCTAAAAYTCATTTTCCTCATCTGGTTATTCTGAGCTCCCTCTTCAGAGATTGTGGTGCAAGAGCAGCAAGACTGGTTGAGAGGTCTTGACTTGTCCTCCTAGATTCTCAGGCATACTGGGGGCAGCGTTTAAAATCTTCCGTCTTTACTCCCAGCTCCACTGGGGCCATGTCAGAGCGAGAAGAGCGGCGATTTGTGGAGATCCCTCGGGAGTCAGTCCGCCTCATGGCAGAGAGTACAGGACTGGAGTTGAGTGACGAAGTGGCAGCCCTTCTCGCTGAGGATGTGTGCTACCGTCTCAGAGAAGCCACACAGGTGCCTCCTTCAGTACCCAATCCCCTGCTGTCCTTGTTCCTTTCCTCACCTGTTCCTACTCTGATTTACTTAGCACCTGCATGTTGGGCACCTCCCTTTGCTTTGAGGCTCTGAGGTTGTCCTTGCCCTTGTCAGAGCTTGCATCTAGCCAGCCAGGCTGTCAGCATATGAAATGCTCATCAGGCATTTTCTAGTACTTCTCATAACAGCCCCACAGGCAGAGTGGCAATACTGTCACATTCTGCGTGTGAGATGTGACACCAGATGGATTGTTGTGTAGGAATTGGGCTGGAATGCAGACTCTGATCACTGGTGTGATGTCTCCTTTGCCTCTTCCCCAGTGTAGTTCATTTCTCTTGGGGGCTTCCACACCGGCTCCCTGTCTCCTGACTCTGGCTTCTGTTTCTGCCCTCCCAGAACAGCTCTCAGTTCATGAAGCACACGAAACGGAGGAAGCTGACCGTTGAGGATTTCAACAGGGCCCTCAGGTGGAGCAGTGTGGAGGTGAGAGGGGTGCAGGCTACAGAGGGCTCATGTAGCATGAGCATGAACTCACCTCCATGTTCAGCTCAGAGTTAATGATATGATGAGACATGAAGACCAAACATGGCCACAACGGGACAAATGCCAGGTGCTGGGTCCAGACCATAGTAGTATGAGTTCTGAATAGAGTAGAGAGGAGGTCACTGGGGACCTCGAGGGTAGGGAAGGCTTCTTGGAAGAGATGGGACACGAACTAAGCCTTATGGAGGGCAAAGAACTTGAACCTGGTTTAATATAATCCTGAAGAAAAACAGGCATGCTGGGTAAAGGAGGAACTCAGCATTTGTGTGGTATTAGCATGTTTTTGTATATTGTTCTGGGGCAGGGTGTTGAGAGATTAGTGTGACTAGGAGGGAGTAGTGAGTGTTCAGAGTTGGGTAAGTGCAAATGAGAGGCCCAGGAGTTTAGGGGTGGGGCTCAAAACCTCTACAGCTCTGAGGAGGGGGCTTATTTACCCTTGACCCAGCAAGCCATGGATGCCCCAGCCAAATTCCTAGCAGTGGCTCTGAGCCCCAGATTTCCTCTGCTTCTCTTGGGAACCTCTAGACTTCTCTCAGACATAGGTTCCCTGTCTTTAGCAGTAGTGCCCCTTCATGGTACCTGTTTCCTCCCTAGATTCAGGCTGCTCTCTAATCCCCTTTCCTTAGGYTGTGTGTGGTTATGGGTCTCAGGAGGCACTGCCTCTGCGCCCTGCCAGGGAGGGTGAACTCTACTTTCCTGAGGACCGAGAGGTGAACCTGGTGGAGCTGGCCCTGGCTACCAACATCCCCAAAGGCTGTGCTGAGACAGCTGTCAGAGGTGGCTGCTGGGGTCCTGCATGGGGTGGGGACAGCAGGTGGGTGGTCAGCAGTGGTGTTGGACTGACTGGTGAATGGGGTAGAATTTGGAGATGTAGGTGTTGTGATGAGGGGGAAAATCCCAGCCTGACATCTCTCTCTGAMCTGGTTCTAGTTCATGTTTCCTACCTGGATGGCAAAGGGAACCTGGCACCTCAAGGATCAGGTAAGGTATAAAAACTTTCTTCTCTTAGATGCTGAGGGTAGGGCCTCTGTGCCTCTATCTGCATCTGACAAGCATTTCGTGGTRCCTACCTTGCACTGTCTTCTGAGCAGGTACTGATCCCTGCTCAGAGGGCTGAGTTGGAGGTGGGATCTCAGACCCGTAACCAGTCATGATGCAGTATGTTGGAGGCCAGAACAGAAATCTAGGCAGCAATCTGGGGTTTCTGAGGTGAAGTGTCTCACTTCAGTGGATGCTGAATAGAGCTCCACAGAGCCTGAGACTCATCAGTATGGCACTCTGAGCAGGAATGCCTGGTAGAAAGCACTTAGGAGAGAGCGGACAGAACACTGAGGTGTGTGGTGCCTGCATGGCCAGGATGGAGCAGGCTGCTGATCACAGCTGAAGTCTCCGCACTGTGGCTCTTCTGTCTGAATGGGCTTCTTGGGGATGTGTCAGTGGTGGGTGTGGGGGAGCAGSCTGCAGGAGTAGGTTGGGCCAGCTCTCCATCTAACCACTTCCTGCCCACCCCCTTGTAGTGCCCAGTGCGGTATCTTCACTGACGGATGACCTGCTCAAGTACTATCAGCAAGTGACACGGGCTGTGCTAGGGGATGATCCACAGCTGATGAAGGTGAGTGTTTCCAAGTTGGAGCTCAAAGTCAGGCTTATTCATCTATCTATCTATCTATCTATCTATCTATATTTTTTAGTTATTGATGGACACAATATTTTTATTTTACTTATTTTTATGTGGTGCTGAGGATCCAACCCAGTGCCTCACATGTGTGAAGCAAACACTCTGCCACTGAGCCACAACCCAGTCCTCAAAGTCGGACTCTTAAGTCTCATGAAATAATTTCAGTTGCGTATTTCCTGGCTTCTTGAGACCAACTGAGCAGTGTGGGTGGAAGTTGTCCTCAGGGTGGGTATAGTKCTCTGAGGCAGCCTTCCTGTCACTCCCAATCCCTTCATCCTTTAGCAGGTTCTGTTGTTCCCTGGGGAAGAATTAGCTAGATGGGGCCTGGAGAGACTCCCTGACATCTTCATTCTAGAGCCCATTATTTGTGGTGTCTGTTGATTTTGCCTGGACTTGGACAGGAAAGGAGAAGAGTAAATAGAAGAGGCCAGGATTGTGTGCCTGGCCAGACCTGCTTTGCAGCACTTAGTCCCAGGGCCTCATACCATCCCATGCCTCTGGCTCCACAGGGCCTGCTGAATACCTGTCATCTGTCGTCTTCTGTGCATAGTCAGGTGACACTGAGTTATCATCTGACTGTGGATAGAAGGTGGTTTGCTCAGTTTTTTCCATACTGGCGGTTTAACCCAGGGCCTTGCGCATGTTAAGAAGTGTTCTACCACTGATCTGCATCCCTAGCCCATTTTTAAAAATTAATTAATTAATTAATTAATTAATTTGGTACTAGGGATTGAACTCGGGGGCACTTAACCAGCCACATCCCCAACTTTCTTTAAATATTTAATTTAGAGACAGGGCCTCGCTGAGTTGSTGAGGCCTCAGCCTCCCGGACCACTGGGATTACAGGGACACCACTGCGTCCAGCCCTAGCCCATTTTATTTTGAGACAGAGTTTTACTAGATTATCACCATCTATCCTCGCTGGTGACCTATGCTGGGTTCACTAATCTGACTATTCCAATAACTTAAGAAAATGGCAAAGAAAGCACGCAAACAGAGATACCTTTTCAAAATCCAGGAGGGCTCTCCGACCTTAGGGGTCCATGGAAAGAGACAGAACCACTGGAATTCTTTATTTTTATATAGGGGACACACAAAGGGAGGTTCCATGGAACATTCTATCCCATAAAGAGCAAAGGGATAGGATTACAAAGGAACAGGTGAGTGTAACTCAACCCCACTGGGTAATTCCTATTCCTAGAATGATGCCTCATTACCTGAGCAGCAGTAAAGCCCAAGTTATTGCAGGCCACAATATTGTTCAGTATTTCTTGCTCAGAACTAAAGGGCATATGTCGCATTCCTCACGACTGAAACACTCAGGGGTACTCCAGGGGAACTGGGCTGTACAAAATAACCACACAGGGCTGGGGATGTGGCTCAAGTGGTAGCGYGCTCGCCTAGCGTGCGTGCGGCCCGGGTTCGATCCTCAGCACCACATACAAACGAAGATGTTGTGTCCGCCGAGAACTAAGAAAAAATAAATATTAAAATTATCTCTCTCTGTCTCTCTGTCCCCCTCTCTCTCTCTCTCTCTCTCTTTAAAAAAAAATAAATAAATAACCACACAAAAGACAGAGATACCTTTTTCTTTGTGGTCCTGGGACGGTTCCTCTAACCTTAAGGGTCCGCAGAAAGAGAGTGAGCGCTTGCTGACCCTTTTTATTGAGGAGAAGCTATTCAAATGAAGCAAGGGTCAGGTTTCAGGGGTTTGAGTCTAGCTTTATGATGTCTGCTGTCAGCATGTTGACTGACAACTAGGAAGGCCACACCCAAAGGCAGAGCAAAAGAAGAGGACACACAAAGGGCGTTTCCACTGGAACATTCTATTCCAAACAGGGCAAAGGGGTAATTTCACAAAGGAACAGGTGAGCATAGCTCAACCCATGGGGCTGCAGGAAGGCACGCCTACGCATGAAGACACATTTGTTAACATTTTTACTACTCTCAAAAGATTGGGGCTACCATCTACATCCACTTGAAAGTGGCCAGATTGGGCTGGGATTGTAGCTYAGTTGGTAGAGCGCTCGCCTAACATGTATGAGGCACTGGGTTCCATCCTYAGCACTACATAAATACAAATAAATAAAATAAAGGTATTTAAAAAAAATAAAAAGAAAGAAAGTGGCCAGATCACTGGAAGTGACCAACAGTGCCTCAAACCAATCCGGAGAGGAAAATGCTGGTCACATGATGTGGCGGCCTCCCAGCAGGCATGTATTTCCAGAGTGCTCCTGACACTAAATTGCTGATACTGGCCTGTGATCCTCTTGCCTCTGCCTCCTGAGTTGCTGGGATTATGGGTGTGGGCTGCCTCGTCAAGTTTATGTGAAGTGTTTTATATCCTTCATGTTTTCATGTGTCTGGCTACAGATATTTCCTTTGCTAAACTAGGAATAGTGCTATCATTCATTCATTCTTTTTTTTTTTTTTTTTTGAGAGAGAATTTTTTAATATTTATTTTTTAGTTCTCAGCGGACACAATATCTTTGTATGTGGTGCTGAGGATCGAACCCAGGCCGCACACATGCCAGGCGAGCTCGCTACCGCTTGAGCCACATCCCCAGCCCCATTCATTCATTCTTGTCTTCAAAACTTGGCTCATAGCTGAAGGTGTAGCTCAGTTATAAAGTGCTTGCCTGGCATGTGTGAGGCCCTGGGTTTGATTCTAGCACTGCAAGGGGAAAAAAAAAAAAAAACCAGCTTGGTTCCTCTTCCTTTTGTCTTTCAGTGTAGTTGGCTGGCTGTAGGGCTTGGGGACTGAGCTCCTTTCTCACTCTTCTGTTGTCTGTTTTCATGGCTATTAGATTTAAGTCCTTTCTCCAAAGGAGTTTGGAGAGTCCAGGTGGTAAAGGTTCAGGACTGAGATGCTTTTACTCACTCTAATAACAGTACATGTTTATTGTAGAAGTACAAATAAAAACAGAGTGTTCTATTTCTCCACTCACATATTTCCCTGGTGTATAAAGTATGGTTACTCTAGTATATACCTAAGTGGCATTATATTAAACATCTGGTTTTACAACTTGGTTTTCTTAGTTAAAAAAGTTGGACATTTAGGTTTTATTCACTTTTTTATTATTACAGACAGTACTGTGTATGGCTGCATGATAGTGTGTTTCTGTAGGTTAAATTGCCAGAATTCTTGGATCAAAGAGTCTGAATATTAACACAGAAATACATGAAGATGGTGCTTAACTATGCTCCAGAGCCATGGCAATTTAATCTTGGGGTAGTGGTTCTAGTGCATCCTGGTCCCTTCCTTTCAGGTCGCTTTGCAGGACCTTCAGACAAACTCCAAAATTGCAGCACTCCTGCCTTACTTTGTTTATGTGGTCAGTGGGGTAAGTGACCAGTGTGGGCGGGGAGATGACCCAGCAGTGTGGAGGGCTCACTGAAGGTGCTGCCAGAAGGCTCCTGCCTGTTCCCTTGTGTCCCTCTCAGCCACCCTCTTCTATCAACAGGTAAAATCTGTAAGCCATGACTTGGAGCAGCTGCACCGGCTGCTGCAGGTAGCACGGAGCCTGGTTCGCAACCCACACCTCTGCCTGGGGCCCTATGTCCGCTCCCTGGTGGGCAGTGTCCTTTACTGTGTTTTGGAGCCACTGGCTGCCTCCATCAACCCCCTGAATGACCACTGGACTCTGCGGGATGGGGCTGCCCTCCTGCTCAGCCACATCTTCTGGTAGCCACTGGGTTTTAACAAAGGGTGGGATTRCTGTACTCAAGTGGGTTGGGGAGGGAGGTGGGGTGAAGCCTCTGGCATTGAGGCTTTTAGGGGATGGGAATGTCTTTCTTTAGAGCTCCCTTGCTGGTGTGCTGTGGCACACTGGGATTCTACAACTGGGTTACCAATATATGGAGGTATTGTTCCTTCAGCCCTTGGATCCTGAGCCAGTCACCACCCCCACCCCCCACCCTCGCAACCTTGTCCACTTACCCTAGATGCCCCCGGGTGCCACGCTAGTCTCTTTGTGTGCCATATCTTGAGACAGTTGGACAGTGCTGCACTTCATTTCTTTCTGTGACTGAATGTTGTTCTCACAGGACTCATGGGGACCTTGTAAGTGGCCTCTACCAGCAGATCCTGCTTTCCCTGCAGAAGGTCCTAGCAGACCCTGTGCGGCCTCTCTGCTCTCACTATGGGGCTGTGGTGGGGCTGCATGCTCTTGGTTGGAAGGTGAGAACCCTGGCCTTTTTTATAGAACCATGAGAGTTCCCCTATGTGTTGAAAAAAAATATTTCTGGTGTGTGTCTTTTGTCATGAAAATGATATGTGCTTGCTATTGCCATGTATTGAGTTCTTGCCTTAGGCCAGACTTAGTTTAACTTTATGTATATAAATGTTTTATCCCTTCAAAAGTCCTCTGTGGCAGATGTTTATATAACCTCATTTTGTAAATTCCTCCCATTTCTCTCTTGTATTATTTGAAACATGAATAGATATTGAATGTTGTCAAATCTTTATAGCATTTCTATAGAGATTACCAAATGATTATGTGTTTTAGTTCTGTTAATATTAGGTTAATATTTTGTTAATAATAGGTATATTAGTGGGTTTTTATGCTATGCCATTCTTGTGTACCTGGAATAATTCTGTTTGCTGCTGTGGAGATTTTTATTGGAATCAAACAATCTATTAGTTTTAGAAAAAAGTGACATCGTTTTCTTGACCATGGAAATGTATTTCCATTTTTTTAAGGTCTTGTCTTTAAGATGCTTTCATAATTTCTCAAAGGAGACTCACTCCCACACACATATATTTTTTTTCATGCTGGGATCAAATAAGCTTGTTAGGCAGCAAGTATTCCACCACTGAGCCACATTCCCAGTCCCTTTTACTACATTTCCTTTTWAAAAAAAACATTATTTTTAGTTGTAGATGGACCCAATAACTGTATCTTTTTATGTGGTGCTTAGGATTGAACCCAGTGCCTCACACGTGAGGTAAATGCTCTACCACTGAGCCACCACCCCAGCTTTATTACATTTATTCTTAGATCCTTGCTGCTCTTGATGCTGCCACAGTGGTGTCTTCATGGTGTTGGTATACAGAGATACAGTTGACCTTTGGGTGTTTATCCAGCTATTTTCCTAAACTATCATTGAAAATTCTTTGGGGGTTTTAATGTAGATAATGATGTGTGCAAGTAATGACATCTTTCTTTTCTAACTGTAGTATTTTWAAAATTTTATTGCAAGGATCACTAGTACTGCTTTATGAAAATGTTTTTGTCACTTCCAATTTTCAAAGAAGTGTTAGGGTGTGTAACTGAATAGTAGTGAGCTTGCCTAGCATGTATAAACCCTGGATTCAATTCTCAGCACCASGTTAAAAAAAAGTGGTGGGTGCAGTGGCGCACACCTGTAATCCCAGTGACTCAGGAGGCTGAGACAGGAGGATCAGGAGTTCTAAGCCAGCCTCAGCAAAAGTAAGGTGCTAAGCAACTCAGTGAGACCCTGTCTCTAAATCTCCAACTTAATAAAAAGTGCAAGCCAAGTGGAGTAGTGCACACCTGTAATCCTAGCGGCTGGAGAGGCTGAGGCAGGAGGGTCAAGAATTCAAAGCCAGCCTCAACAATTTATCTAGACCCTGTCTCCAAATAAAATACAAAAAAGCACCGTGGATGTGGTTAGTACTTAAGTACCCCTGGGTTAAATCCCCAGTATATTTAAAAAAAAAAAAATGCTTATAACCTTTCCCACTTAGGGTAATGTGTACTGTGTATATGTATTACATATTCTCAGGTTAGTAAAATTGTTATATGTATTATTTTTCTTATTATTGGATGCTTTTTCTGCATTTCTTTTTTCAGTTTAAAAATGTTAACTTTCTTGTCCATAATCCCAGTAACTCAGGAGGCTGAGGCAGGAGGATTCAGACTTTGAGAACAGGCTCAGCAATTCAGTAAG